CGTGGCCGGTGGGGGGAGCGGGCGGACGGGGATCGCCCCCCCTACCGCTGGCGGGCTCCGCTGCCTGCGGTGTCTGAGTCCTAGGGGTGGGCACCTCCATTTGGGTTTTCCGTGAGGCAGAATGTACAGACAGCGAAAGCGACTCTTCTCCCTGTCAACATGACTCTGGTTAGTCACCTGGCAGCGCAGACTCCCACAGGCGCTGAAAATCAGTCCCCCAAGTCCGCCCCAAGCGCCAGATTCCTCCACTTCGGGCTCCGCTGCCTGCGGTGTCTGAGTCCTAGGGGTGGGCACCTCCATTTGGGTTTTCCGTGAGGCAGAATGTACAGACAGCGAAAGCGACTCTTCTCCCTGTCAACATGACTCTGGTTAGTCACCTGGCAGCGCAGACTCCCACAGGCGCTGAAAATCAGTCCCCCAAGTCCGCCCCAAGCGCCAGATTCCTCCACTTCCATCCAAGAAAAGTGGAGGAACCTGGGCAGCAGCGGCTGCTGGGGAGATTTCCCCTGCTGCTCTGAAGCGCTGTTACAACAGGTTCATTTCAGCCCTTCTTTCTAGCAGGGATTTTTTTTTTTCAATTTGACTGCCCGTTTTTTCAGTTCCAATCGTGTGTTCATTGCATCTCTGGGACTGACAGAAGAAAAACGTGTCCGGGAGCGAGAGAGTCCTCTGGCAATCAGAGAGTAGAGCAAAAGAGAGGCATGGGGCTGACTTTTCATGCCCTACGGGGAGAAATCTGCTTTGCAAACTAGTAACGTTTTGCTGGTAGATTCTCCTGTTTGCGCTGTGATGTGGGTGTTCTGTGGTTTCTTTGCTTGCTTTCTGAAGTTGGAAACAGCGAATTTTTCTCTCTTTGGATTAAATAATGCCAAACGCTGCTGCTTACTGTTTACGATCTGGCTCTTTATCGTCATGGTGTAAACAGTGTGGTGCAAACATCTAAAGATCTCAGGCATGTCAATCCATAGAACAGGAATGCGGTTCCAATATAGCGATACATAACGGTCCTCCAGATCACCGGGTGTTAATGAGCATAGCTCCCTTGACTTCCCTGGAGGCAGAATTAAATGGCACACTAGCTGAGGAGCTGGTCCATTGACAAATTTTGGACGGGGACAGAAGAGTGAGGGGCCTTTGCTTGTGGCAATTTAGAAACCTCTCTTCCATCGGCTCAGACTCTCTTATTCTGATTTCTGTGCCCTTTTTGAGTTTCTTGTCGAATTGCTAATCAATTTTATGAGCGCTTTCCGGTGAGCCACATGCCCTCCGAGTTTCTCAGTCATGCTTTCCCTTCACTTACGGTTATTTCCTTTTCTCAGACTGGCAGTGACAGGTCAGTCTGTGGCCTCTCCTGTTTTAAAAATCCTAGGGAATTTCAAACTTTTAAATGGCTTTGAGTAGACAGTTCTTGTTTTCAGCTGGAAGTTTTAGATTCTAAACCACTCTGGATTTGTTTTGTTGTTGTTGTTTTTAGTCAATCAAGAGTGGACATTCAGTTTTTAAAACATCTTATTTAAGTGTCAGTTAAGCTTATGAGTTTCTGTTAATAAAAACTAAGACCTAATGGTTAGTTGCTAGTTAAATATTCAGATTAATCAGAGCTAAAGCCAAGATTCCTCTTATGTCCTCTTCTTTGCTTGCAGAATACAAAATTGATGAAGCTGTAAATGTTATTTTCCCTAAGCATTCTAACTCTAAAATGCAGTTGGCTTTTCTTAAAATTTAACTACTTTCACTCTGGATGAGATGATACTTTTAAGCAGCTTGCTTGGAGACTATGGTGTGCTTGGTTGTTGGGGAAGCTGATTGTATTGTGTTTAGGTAATATGTTTAGCTGTATGCTATTTTGCACATGCTGCTGAGTGCTTTTGCAATAATTGCTTGGGAAGGATATCCTGTTGTTAAATGGAATGCTGTCTTATTTGTCACTCGGCCCAATTATTATAAGCATTTAATCACAACAGCCAACATCAGGATTTATGGTGCTTGGTTTGCTTGATTTATTTTCCTTCCTGGTCCTTTTTTGACTCACGTGAACTATAATTGCGGGTTAGTGAAACAATCTATTGCAGCATTAATGTGTCAAGGTGCATCAGATTTCATATATTTGATTAACTGCTTAATTTTCAAAGAATTGTGATATTGATCACTTGATAGTATGTTTGAAAATGATACATAGTTTGATCTGTGTTTTGGTGTTTAAAATAGTTACACTTTTACTTTTGTTTTTTAATGAGCATAAATAAGATAGGTATCAGACACGAGGGAACTAAGTCCTAAACTTACAGGACAAAACTTATTGAACACCATTACACCTTATCTACATACATTAATATTAGTAAATCATTATTACTGGGATTTGATTCATACAGTAAACCTGTCTCCCACAAACAGAAAGCCAAGACTTTTTAGATAAGCTCTTTTCACACTAGCACTTCTCTTATTTTTTTAAAGATTGAGTGGGGAAAATATAATTTTTTTCATAATATTTCTAGTGTTACATATGTTTGTGATATAAGGCTGTTTTTCTGTACAGTGTTTTGATACAAATTAAAAATGTGTTGAAGTCAATGATAACATGATTATAATGAACATATTTATTTGCTGTTCTAGGGTAGGCTGCTATGTTAGTGCTAAACTGCTCAATGCCAGTTATGTAAGAGATATTAGATGTAGTAACTTGACCCTTCGACCATAAATATCCTGATTTTAGAGAGATGTTGTACATTGAATTCCAGTGCTGCAATCTACTTTAGAATATTTCATACAGAGGTCATTTCAAGCACTAGGGGCCAAATACTGGACTTACTAGCAAAGCCCCCAGTAGAAAAGCTTAATACTGTCTCGGTGGCAGAAACCTCACCCATGTGTTATCATAGAAAACAATGCTGCAATTATATATGTGGATTTTCATCCAGACATTGATATCAGTAACTTCAAAATCTACTCAACAATACCACAGTAAAACTTGTCCTTTTGTAAAACTGCTAGTAAATGAATCCACCTGTCATAGATTGGGTGAGAATATTGCATTAGAGTCTCACAAAATAACCTTTGTGTAAAAATATTGAGTGTGTAATTATATATGTAATTAATATATTTAAATGTGGGTATCATGAATAGAATATAATTGTTATGTATCAAGTACATTTCTTCAGGCTTCTTGTGGAGGAAGACACTATTCTCTTCTGTGGGTAAGAGTATCAGAATCTGACCCTTTAAGAGATTTTTATATGAAAGTGAAATGTCATAGTAAAAAAAATCCATTAACAGTACTTGTTAAATTCAAACCATGATTTCAATAACTCTAAACGTCTGACTTAAGGCAATGAAAACTGAAAGTTCAAAGTTAAAAGTTGGAACATGTCCTTAATTCACACTGCTCTTAATAAAATACTCCACAATTTAAAATCCAAGGCAGTTTCTGAATTTTGTTTTTTCCATTTAAATGAGATCCTTAGTCTTATTTAAATGTCTTTGTTTGCTTAAAATGAAGTATTTTATAACAACATTTGAAATATAGATTTTTTACCAAAGAGATCAGGATGTCTGTTTCGGAGTACATCTTGGATAGCTTAGTAATCACAGTGTTCCTTACAAAAATTATTGAAAGGTTTGGAGTTCTATATATTATTTCAAAAGTTAGTGAGTCTTTTCTTATGTGGAAATGAAGAGCAGGATGAGATTCAGTCAACTTACAAATCACTACAGTGAAACTAGTGTGAGCAGAATCAAGCCCTTTATTTTCAAGGTCAGAAGTCTCCTTAATTTAACTTTAACAAAGTGTCTTTACAATGGCAAGATAGGGAACACTGGATTAAAGAAAACAAGCCTCTCCACCACCCAACACAACTCTAGCTTCTTGTAGACCATAAAATAAGAGTGAAAATTACTGCATAATTATTCACATAATTGAGACACTAATGTATGTCAGAACCACCCAAGAACTTACGTCTTTTTTAGTGTTCTTAGAGTTCCCACCTCTCTTAATTGTCACTAGAATGCAAAAGGTGACTGGGAAAGTCTGATGGGTCAAACTAGTGTCAAACAACTTTTTTAGTTGTAAGTTCTACTGCCATTGAAGTCGGTGTGGATTCTGTGAGCAGAATAGCTGTGTAACTGGACACAAAGAGAGACTGAAAAAGGTGAAGGGCCTGCCTCAGAAGAAATGACTGAAATTACTGCAGTTATACTGTTGTAATTTTGTGAAATCAGTACTGGGCCCTTAGAGATTAACGTGTCCTTCAATTGTGCTCAGCACAAAGCCTGAAGTGGGGATGGGATGTTATGTAGTCTTGCACTGCCCTCATGCTAGGGCTGCCACAGCCTCATTTAGCCTTGGTGTAAGTTAAAATCACCTTGTAGGCTGCCCTAACTTGTGTCTAGCTGCTTAGTATCCCTTTGAGCCATTCCAATAGCCAGGACATAAAATACTGCTGTCACCACACTTTCCTACTTCAGTAGTGCCCCAGCTGATTTACCTGCTCTGGGGGCTTCTTAGAGGAGTGGGTAGCGCTTGCTACCTGTTTTGACTCTGCAATAGGGATAT